CACATTTTACACTGTAACCCAGGACATAAGCTAATACAGACATACACATTTAATGTCTTGCATTGCTCTGGAAAATCCCAACTCTCATTTCTATTAAGATTCCATGTGCTTGCAAAGTAAAAGAACCTTTTGTGATGTTACAAGTTGTTATTTAGCTTTAAGCTGTGAAAACAAGCTTGCTTGATATCACTGCTTTTAGGTGCTTCTCCACTTGTGTTCCCACTTGTAATCTGCAATGCTGGATATCAGAGCTGTTAAGGAGGACTTTATTTTTCTGTACTTACTCAGGAGAATTTAAGATTATTTGAGCGTGTGCACCAGTTAATGAAAAAAAAACAGTTCAACTGAAGGCATTTCATAGTGAACTCTGAACACTGAATGCTGGCTTTCCTAAAATGGTCATTTCCTGGATGCTTGCCTTGCTTTTTTTGTCTTGCCTCATATAGAAATAGAGTAAAATATAAACTAATTCTGTGCTTCGTCTTTGATTCTGCTTCACTAAACAAAACCTCGCACATCACAACATCCATTTTATATTAGGCCGTTTCTAGAGACATACCCAAATGAGTACTGATGGACAAGGATTTTTCTGTCTTTCTGAACCTTGAGACTGTTTCTATGACAGTCTCTCCAGGAGGAATTGATGCTTACAGACTGAGAATTATTTTCCTTAGTGGAAAAAGTGGTAGCTTGATAGGTTTTGTTCAGAGTCACTTAGAGTGGTGTTTTTTGTCAGATACAGTCTCCTGCAATGAGCTCCCGAGGTTCTAATAGGTACTTAAAGCAGTGAATTCAATCCCTGAGTCTTGAAATGGGCTTCCTAGAGGTGGAACTTCCCATGGCATCTGATGCTTGATTTGTACTTGTTCTCCTTCAGCGAGGGTGTAAGTGGTGGTTATGTAGCATGTAGAAGCATGTGTCTGTTATGTGAAGCTTAGTTTGATCCTTCACAGACTGCTGGACTGACCTTTCTTTGTCTCTTCAGGTGTTTCCTAATAAAATGATGGACCTTAGCCTATTGTGTATTCCTTTACTTGCACCTTTAAGGCTCTATTTTGTTCTTTTAGTAAAGCTACTGTAAACACTAGGACTGAAACTAGCCTCAGTGCTGACATTAGTCCTTCTCTATGCAGACTCTTACTCTGATATGTGCTGATGGCTTTGCTGAAAGAAATTACTGCACAGACTTCCCAAGCTTAGTCCCCCTCTGGGGCCGTGGGCAAATTGCTTAGCTTGTCTGTCCTGGTTTCCCAGCTGTGGAGTTGGAGTAATTTATTACTAGTGTCAGTCATAAGAACGTTGAGGGTTAATCTGCAAGAACGGCATCTGCATAGTGTCTTTAGAGTGTCAAAGCAGTAATGTATAATTGTAATTTTATTATTGATATTGGTTATTTCATTAAAGTGCAATTTTCAAACAATGTTCATGTAGATTAAACTCATTTCATCAATGAACTGGCATCCTTCCAGCAGCATTAACTTGGTTCAGACTTGTTGTCTAATAGTGAAGCCTAAACATGTAGATAGCTCTGTAAAGAAAACAGCAAATGCCTAAAGAAATCCATACTTTCTTGTTTTTAATCTAGACTGTGGACATCCATAAAGAAAAGGTCGCTCGCAGAGAGATAGGCATTTTGACGACCAATAAGAACACATCGAGAACTCACAAAATTATAGCGCCAGCGAACATGGAACGTCCTGTAAGGTATATTCGAAAACCTATAGACTACACGGTGCTGGATGATGTTGGCCATGGCGTAAAGGTAAGAATACCCGGACACTCGAGGACTCAGAGTAGCACAGACCAGGAGATAGGGTCGGGGCAGAATGTGACTGACTTAAAATATTTAGTTCATTTATGGAAGGAACGATCATGGGCTTGATGTGCTCACATGTACAAACATTTCAATAACAAAATGGATGGGTTTACAGTGAGGGTTTTTTGAGCAATGTTTGCCATAACCTTGTGACTATCAGTAGTAGTCACAGTGGCTGGAAGTAATGGCTCATGATCTTAGTCTAGTGAGTTGTCAAAAAAGCCATGACTGCTAAAATTCTCAATTATTATTTCCTCCTCTGATTAAATTGTCTCTACCACTCCTTTTATTTCTTTCATTATTGAGAAAAATTAGGTCATCTGTTATGGGGAAACTGGCTGGTGGGGTGTGGTGTTTGTTTTTTTTTTTTTTCTCTCCGGGTTTTCTGGAGGGTGATCAGGAGAAAGGGGGTTAGGTAGATGGTATTTAGGTCTCAGTGGCATTTGATGTCTGCCAGTTGTGCTTTTGGACAGCCTCATTTTCCTTTTCTCTAAATAATAGCCTTTGTAAGTTAATCTCTACCTCCCTTGAAATGATCATAGTTGAAGTCAATTAATGTAACACCCTTTGCTCCCTGGACATCTTTTTGTGAAAAATAGCTTTGTATCCCCCTAGAGCAGGCCTTCCAGGTACATTCAGTTCACAACAGTCTTCCCTTGAATGGATGAAAAAGCTTTTATTCAACACCCATGTATCCTCTAAAGCTTGATGTGCTGTGGTCAGGCAGTTGTGCAGCTAGATCAGCCCATCCTGTGCCATTTGAATCTCTGAGTTCTTGAGGAACAGGTCTTTCAGAGTTACTCCACACAAAGGAGTGCCAGGGTACCTCCTGCTTCATAGTAACCCTATCAGTGCCCCGAGGAGTCTAATTCCAACACAAGTGAGAAAGCAGCTCTATACAATGACAGCTCTAGGTTATGAATTAACTTAGTGACTTTGGACTACCTAATTTTTTGTTTTGTTTGTATCTAAACCTATACTAAACCCATAACTCTTAGGGTTGTTTTACACTAACAATTTAATCCAGACTGAATAAAGCACAAACCTTGCAGAAGCACAAAAGACATACCCTGAGTTGCTGTAAAATAGAAACACTGGGGCCAGAGAAATAGATAATTTTTCAGTACAGTCTCTACATTCAAGGAGAGTGCTCTATGAACAGAGAATACAGGAATACACTAATTCAATGTCAGGATGTTGATTTCTGCATTTAAGTGCTCCAGGGATCAGGTGCTGTAGAAGACTTTTTGAAAGTAGAATAATTACTGTTAGTCGCTGAAGTTGTTGGTTTGCTGAACTACTTGTATTGTGCAGGCTCAAAACAGGTTGCTTGATCCATAAACAGTGGAGTTGTTAAGGTGTAGCAGTTGCATTTTCTAATATGACTGTTTGGTTTTAGGAGTACTGGTGTCTTTATTTTTATTAATGTGACTATTTGTGTAGGGGGTGGAAATGAGGTGCTGCTTACATATTTCTAGGCAGTTCTTATGGAACATTTTTAGTAAAGGTTTTTTTAACTGTTAATGATTTAATTCTATGTTAAAAACTTGGTCTGTTCAGAGGTAAAATAGCTTCCAGTAATAACCAAATTATCAACTAATTACAAGTCAGCTACAAATTATATCTTGCTGTTGTTTCTTTATGGAGTGATTTGCCAAAGTCTGTATTACGACTGTGGAAGGCATGAAACACTTAGTAGGAAAACAATGTTGATCTTTTCTATGTAGACTTGTAACACAAATGAAATAAGCTGCCAGCCAGTCCTCAGGTATATAGTTTAAGATGGCTGTCATGCACTTGACACCTTCACCAGTGTTGGTGTTCAGTGGACACGCTGTTGAGAAGGTGGGTTGAGGTAGTGAATGACATAATTAAATGGTTTAGCCATCATATTACTTGAGTTTTGAGAGTGTGACACAGATTATAGCTCTCAAGGAAGTAGCTTGCATTGTCTGCAAACCTAGATGTAGCTTGTGCCAAGCAAATCAAACCAAGACAATGTAAGAAACTGGATCAGGTCCTGTCAGAAATCAGCACAAATAATGGATGATGCTGAGAACCTGAGTTGCCTCTTGAACAAACATACAAATTAGGGAGAAGCATACAATAAATTGAATTACAAACTTTGTCTTGTCCAGAATTGTCTCAGAAGATGCTTCAGATTCTGTTAAATCTTATTTTCTTGACCAAAGATTTCACCCCAAGTTGGACAGCAATACGTCTGATAAGGCCTTAGAAACCATATTTTTCTAGAGGAAGTCTCAGTTCTGCCTAAAGCAGTTGTCAGTTTGACTAACTTGCAGGTCCTTGAATGTCTTCTGCTGTGGCAACTGTCAATAAAATACAGTACAACACATACATTGACACTTCAGTATTAAACAAAAATTGTGTGACACTTTGAAATCTGTAGGTGACAATTTACTGCTGTTAATGGGACTCTCTGTTATGTTCTGGTGCGGGTTTTCGTAAAGAAACAGAAAGGAAAAAATACAAGGAAGTGAAATCAAAGATACAGGCTGGATTATAGCCTGTTTCTTCTTTTTATTTATTTCATGATCCTAGGAAAAATGTCATTAAAATATGCAGCATATTTTAAGGAGTGTTCCTGAAAGGTTTTATATAAAAAATGTAAATAAAAATACTGTCTCACACAATTTTAAAAAAAAAAGGTAGTCCTCAGAGTAAATACTGTTTTCCCCTGTACAGCTTTCATCTGAGCAAATGCAGAAACAGCTCCTATGCGTACAGCTCATTTTCTTTGTGTGTGTGTGTCTGATACTTCTCATGGCTGTGCAGAGGGGACGCAAAAGCAGATGCCTACGCTTGGGACATGGAGAAGGGCTCTACGTGCTGCCCTCTGTCTGACATGTATGCAGCAATTTTTCTGTGAGGCAGGTGATGAGGGTGGGGGTGGCAGTGATGGTAAGCAGCTGCTCTCTGTAGCAGATTTCCTCCCTGATGGGAGATACCTCCTTGGAAGGTAGTGCTGTTTCCTCCTCTGGCAGCTTCTTGGTCTAAAAGCTTTTGTAGAGCATCCTAGGATCACAGAGGTGCTTTCTCCTTTGACCTGAAAGCTCCATCACAGCCCCAAGCTGCCCCAGCTGCTCCGCTCCCTGCCTCTTTGCTTTGCAGGGACAGATACAGATGAAGTCTCCGAAAGGAGTAAAGTTGCTTTTTTTTTTTTTTAATATACATGCCTATGAAGCCAAGGCTAGTATCAGTCAAAATCAGTTGCTTTTAAAGTTGGTTTGCTAGTGAGAAGGCTTTCCTTTGCAACACAAATATTATGTGTAGATGGCTCCAAGAGACACACAGACAAGCATTTTTGCCGGTCTGTTAAGTAGTTGCTCAGCTGTCACCCTCTGGGGATAGGGGAGTGTACATGAAGTCATTATTGGTAAATAAGAGTAACTGTCATGATGTGAGAGCCTACCTTCCTGTGTAGAGTTTGGTTTAAAATCATTAGGCAGAGGCTACTGTAACATTTCCTTCTGTCTCCTTTTGTGAAAGAGGGGGAAAAAAAAAGTAGTGTGCTAGCAAATAAATAGGACAAATACAATTACTCATACAGAAAATCCTCAGTTTAAGAGGGGGGAGAAGGAGGAGGAAGCTTGGAAGCTGCCTTAAAAGCCCTGAAGTTGGCCTTTGAATTTATTATCATTTCTTTTTCAACACGAGGCAGGTAGAATTGTAGCAATTCATAAAATGGCAGCTAAGTAGGAAATTGTAATGATGCCTTAAGGTAAAGACAGATAAAATGTTGAATACATGCTAAATTGAAATGCCTAATAGCTGTAATAGGATCAAGTTTGGTTTATGGAACTAATAGTTCTTCAAAACCAAACTTGAATTGCATATGAAGACTGATCACTTTTCAGATTTGTTTTAAGAAAAGATTCAGAATTTCGTCACTGTAAAACTTGCATTTCAGTGCATTAAAACCATAAGAAGCTTTCTAGCTGAGGAAGTCAAACAGGAGTTAAGGATTCAGAAATCTTTCTCAAGCAAATGAAATTGGAAGGACTCACTTAAAGTAAGGATTGGGCCAAAACTTACCAAATACTAAGTTTAGAGAAGGGAGCCTTGCTCTTGCCCTTGTTATGCTTCTCAGCCTGCCCTGCTCACCTGCAGTCCTCCTGCTTACATCTGTGTCTGTGCAAAACAAAAATGCAGATGAGATGCTAATGTGAGGGTGGAGGGCTACCTAATTGTGCCTGCTTCCCCTTTAGGATAAGACCTTTTATGTGTTAGCCACTTGAGTGTTAACTTTTAAATAATTCACTGTAATAAAACCAAAGTGAGACAGGAATCCTGAACCTGAGCCTCTGCTGCCTTTGTGCCTGTGTTAGCCTCTGTCAGACACTCACGCTTCAAAGGATCTTGTGTTGCCAATTTCATTAATGTCACATCATCCCTCTGGGGTCATGGCCAAACAGTAAATACTGCTGTAGGGTAACGAACACTTCTCTGGAGGAAAAAGTAACTCTTCCTGTTGCCAGCTCTAATAAGTCCGTTATGAGTGTTGACACTGTGCTTTTCATAGGGCACTTGCTACTGGAAATTCAGAAGTGTGTGGTGTCATCTGATACAATGTAGGTTTCAAGCCTTTCTGCTTGCAAAGAAAACTCAAAACTATGAGGTCTTTTTATTTTCTAATTTTGAAAAGAATTTTTTTTACATTAGCCTTATTGTATTGTAGCTAGATTCAAAGTTACCAACTCAAAGAATTCAAAAAACTTGAAGTATTTAAAGGCAGGAAGCGAGGTATCCTTTTCTGAACAAGACTACTGAGTGCTGAGGGAACAATATTAAGTTTGTCTATCCATCCACAAGCAGGTTTTTGTATGTTAATAGCAGCTTAGTATGTAAAAACATTTTAAGGGCAAATGTGACTTAAATTTTCACCTGCTCAGTTTGGAAACTAAAAAAAAAAAAGGAATAAAGAA